TATATATATATATATATATAAATCTGTGTGTGTGTATGTATGTATGTATGTATGTATGTATGTATGTATATATATACACATACATACATACATACATACATACATACATACATACATACATACATACATACATACATACAATGTGTGTGTGTGTGAGTGTGAGTGTGTGAGTGACTGAGTGTGTTTCCCAGTACTGAGATGCGGTTGGAAGAGCATCCGCTGTGTAAAACATATGCTGGAATAGTTGCCGGTTCATTCTGCCGTGGCGACCCCTGATGAATAAAGGGACTTAAAGCCGTAAAGTAAATGAATGAATGAATTGCTATAATTGTGACACAACTAACTTAGATTGCTTGGAAACTTAGGGATTAAACAGATTTTAGATTAATCGGCGTAAGAATGCAATTAAAGCTGGTTTATGAAGCTTTTGATAAAAAATGCAAAGTAAAACTGCACAAAAATGATGGCTATTTTAGCTTTTATATCTGTGTTTCACCCAGATTGTCCTTTGGATTAAAAGTCTGCAACTTGTTCATACATTAAAAACAAATGGCAAAGAGAAGGAATCTAGATACAAAAAATAAATAAATAAATAAATAAACTTCATGAAATCCTAATGTTGGTAAAAGAAACTTGTATAAAATTTACAATTGGGGACCTGATTGCAGAATCATTCACTGCCAAAATCCCATGGATTAAAGTTCAGATTTTCGTTATTTTTAGCGAGGTATAATGATTTCCATTGTTGTTCTGTTGTTGTACTTTGGGTCAATTTTTAGGTCACGATAATCAGTATATGGACTAATCGTACAACACATGGACTTGACCTTTAATCATTTAAAGTGATGCAATATATATCACCCATACATAAAAGCTAATTTTTTTGCTGATTTTGCAACATCTCTCTCTACAAGAGGTGTCAGTATCAGTATGGTTAAAAAGCACTATAGTGTTAGTGTAAAGCCTCTGTTACTTTTTATCTTCATTCATTCATTCATTTTCTTTTCAGCTTAGTCCCTTTATTAATCAGGGGTCACCACAGCGGAATGAACCACCAACTTATCCAGCACGTTTTACGCAGCGAATGCCCTTCCAGCTACCATCACTGGGAAATACTTTTTATCTTGTTAACATTTATTATTATTTATTTAGGATCTGCTTTTCCACATTCTGATTACAATGCCTCATTATTAAACTGTTAAAATGACTTTAATTCAAATGAATATTCTTAAGAATAAAATATGTTGTGTTCTTGGAAGAGTGTACTTGCATTGTGATGATATTATATTGTCATTATATAATAAGTAGCATAAATAGTCAAAAAGTATCAATAATATTGTTTATCACAATATATTTTGGTGCAATATATCATGCAACAAAAAATAGATATAGTGACAGGCCTATCAATTTTGGCCCACCAGCTATAGAACTATACTTACTCTACAAATCTACTGGCACATGCACACACAATTATGAATCTGCTGCTTTCATTTTTATAAATTATGTCTTGCTAAACCTTTTACACTTATGCAGGTACATTTAGCATCCGAAAATACACACTTTACTTTAGTCAAACACGTGTGTTGCCCACTAATTAAACATTGATAAAATACTGCACGCTGATGGAGGAAACCTAGGAGTTCACAGAGTTTGTTTCCTCATGCAGAATTGATTTATACAATTGATACAATTGATACATTGATTGATACATTTAGCTGCTTTATTTTAGAAGTTAAGTGAAGGCGGCTAAATTTTAAGTAAAGGGCCGATGGTGTATACAGAATGCTGACAGAACAGGGGAGTTGACGTGAACATGAACCTGAAGCTGTGACCTAATTTATTAATTTATTTTTTCTCATTTGGTGATGCAGTTTCTAGAGAAAAAGAATATTTAATGAGAACAGTGGGTGTGGCTTGTTATTTCTACTGCAAGCTGATTGGATGTAGTAAAGTAGGCGCTTCATTCGGAAAGTTCAGGAAAAGGGTGTGGAGAGTTATTACAACCTTACAGACTCCCATAGATATATACACTAGATGTCGCCTGGCTTATTGTTGTCTATTGGATGGAATGCGTCAATAGCGCCGCCATCTTGGTACAGGGTAGCGCTCCTTTGAAATGAATGCGGGACCAAGGTGCAGTGGAGGACTGTGGCCATCCAAAGCCAGAGATATACACATATACACATATATCTATGATCGGGAGTTTTCCTGGATGTTAGTATGCAATTTTTTTTTTCTAATTACGAAAATTATAATTTTACATCACTTTTCTACATTGATTGATCAGTGACCGCACGGGCATTCCTGACAAAAATCTTGTGTTTGTGTGTTCGGAAATGTACTATTCACCCTCCCTGTTAAATTTGATCTAATCATGTCCTGAAACACAACTCCTCTCCTGCTTTCACTTCTCATACTGACGGAGGGAGCGTTTCGTTTGTGAATGAATCTCCGTTATGAATGACTCTTTCACTAGCCGACAATAATGCAAGTTTCTGGCAGCGCAGCATCTCGTTGTCATATTTCTTTTGCGTTGTTTGCTGATTTTATTCAACAAAACTAGCATAAGCCGAGTGTTTAGTGCGAGTTGGAGCTGGTTTGCCTTATGGTGAATGCAGTAAGTGACTGTTATCATCAATAACGTTACCTGTGTAGCACAAAAGTTCAGAAAATACAAAAACAGAAAAAACTTAATATTACCTATGAAATGTCCTGCCTTTGTGCTTTGTTTTCTTTGTTTGCTCGTTACTACATCCGTAGACGGCGCTAAAGTCCAGCATCTTCACGTAATAACACTGTGTTGACTAGTGCGGATGAATGACACTTTTCCTGGGAGCACTGTACCAATGTGGCGGCGCTATTGACGCATGCTCAGGGTCCCTATGCGATATCTAGTGTGTATATCTATGACAGACTCCTCCTGCTCACCATTACTGTCAAAACTGATAACTGGAGGGGGCATAGTGAAGTTTGTTAGCCACACTCAATACCTTAGACAGACCTCATCTGAGAATTAAACTAAAAACAAACTGGTAGTGCATTTTCAGATTTCATTTAAAGACTACAAGACTGTCTGCGCCAGTAGCCTAGTGGTTAGTGCGTCGACACATAGCACTGAGGTGCTCGCAGCGACCCGAGTTCGATTCCTGTCTCGAGGTCCTTTGCTGATC